GATAGATAGATAGATAGATAGATAGATAGATAGATAGATAGATAGATGATAGATAGATAGTTAGTTTTGGGTTGTCGTCACTGTGAGGTATGCTTGATACTTTATGGGAGTTACAGGAAGCACTCTGCGTCTTTCTCAGCTGTTAGTTGGTACCTGCTTGTCTCAGAACTCAGAAAGTTACAGGTCATCTGCTATATGACTACTGAGCTCAGGGTCAAAGATGGGAGGCAGGCTAGTTTCAAGTTCCAAATTATTTGTTAGTTATGACTTTGCATCCAGAAAAGAGGATGGGAAATCGGGGGGGGGGGGAGCAAGTCCCAGCCTATTGAAAAAATCCCCTCTTTATTGGGGAATTTAAAAAAAAATGCGCTGTCCTGCACCAAATCGGCACGCATACCATACCTTTTGCCTTTTCTCCGTGCCTGTGTCCTTGTTTTCATTCTATTTTGATGGAACCAAAATAGTTGGTAATTTAGGACACGACAAAGAGAGAGGGGATTGAGAAATTACAGGTTAAAAGAAAGAGACAGAAAATTTAGGATAGTTTCAGGTAGGCGATCACTCAGTACTAAAAGCACCAAGTTTAATCCACAGCTCCTTTTTAAAGACAAAGCAAAACAGTTCGCCTCAGTACAAGGACGGTCAAACTTGTTTTCAAAGACCACATTCCTGTATGGCAGACATGGTCCAAGGTCTCACAGATAAGTTAAAGAAACTTGGCAAACCGTCCTGCTTATTTCTGCTTCAAGGCTAACACATGTTTTCACTGGATACTCGTTATAACAAAGCAGCTTCTAGGCAAGCAGCTATCCATAGCTTGAGAAAGGACTTCTGCTTCTTCCTACACTGTCTGTTGCTTGTTTGTTTGGGTTTTTTTCCTCTTTCTTTTCTTTTTTTTTTTGGAGACAGGGTTTCAACATGCATTCCTGGTTGTCGAGGAACACTCTGTGTAGACCAGGCTGGCCTCCATCTCACAGAAATCTTTCTCCCTCTGCCTCCCAATGCTGGAATTGAAGTGTGCACACCACACCTGGCTCAGATTCAGAATTTTATGTTAAAAGCTGCTTTGCTTTCACTAGTCTCTTGAAGTTGTGATGATCTCATTTCTAACAAATATTAGGCAGTACTTCGAGACATGGGAGTTTCATGAGTTTAATGTTGAAGAATAAAGCTGTCAGTTAGAGGGAGTCCTTGCAGCCACCGGATCCCAGAGAGAAGGCTTTCAAGAGAGACAGCCAGCCTGGGTGACACAGTGGGTCCCAAGCCTGCCTGGCCATGTGGAAAGACCCTGTTTCAGGAAGGGAGAAGAGGAATAGCCTGGGCTGTCTTGCAGATTAAATGGTCTCATTTGGCTTTGCTGGGCGATGTGGCGACGCTTTAGTAAGGCAGCCTCCCTCCAACCTGTGTGCTCCAGAGCTGCTCCTGGAGAGCCTGGTGGCCCCACAGAGGTGAGGGTAAGAGCTTGAGATCTTCCAGAAAGGTCTATCACCTCTGCAGAATAGCATCTGATCCACAGGGGCTGCCTTCCTCAGATGCTCGCAGACCATGCTTCCTTCTCATCTTTGTCAGGAATGTTTGAGAGAAAGAAGGGACAAAGGGCTTTTTAAGAAGCCCTTAGATTTACCCACTCCCTTCCACCTTTTCTCCAAACAAGACAAATGCTTTCTGTTAATTACAGCTAAGGCCTACGACTGAATCCCTGCTGCGAGCCAGCAAATGTCAGGTAACTATGGTTGCTGACGTGGAAGAGACTGAGGGGTCAGAGCTGTGAGTCTGAGTGATCACCACCGAGCAGTATACCTGACCCAGCTCAAAGAGCAGTCACTACACTTCCCTGTGCGCGTGAGGGGCCAGCGCAGGCCATGTGGTGGTGAAACGCTAAGAGGCTGAAGCTGAGGGCTTTATTGGTTGTTAATACGTAGGTTTTACTCCAAGATACAAGTTTCACTGTTTTAGAGATGTGAATACGGCCGTGATGGAGTTGCTGATTATGGCGTACGCACTGAAGACTGCCTGTGCCAGGAATATCATCGGTGTGATCCCCTACTTCCCCTACAGCAAGCAGAGCAAGATGAGGAAGAGGGGCTCCATCGTGTGCAAGCTCTTGGCGTCCATGCTGGCCAAAGCTGGTGAGTGTGAGTGGAAGCCCTGGGGTCCCAGCACTAGCTGTAGTCTCTCCCACTGCAGGTCAGGTTCCACCTGGGTATCTGGTTTGGGACCTGTCTCTTGACTTGCTGCTCACTAGCGCCATCTTGTTTCCTTTTACATTGTTGGGAAGGGTACATGAGCTGAGGTATTAAATTCTTAGTGTCTGCTCTGTGTCTAGAGGGAAGCTGCTTCAGCACCTTCTCCATCTGTTTTTGTTGCGCTACTTTGCCATCATCTTGTCATCTACAGTTTAACTGGCAGGCTTGTCATTCTTGTGACCACTCAGGCTCCAGGCCTGACGTGTTTGCCTGAGTCAGGTGCATCAGTTGTTCGCGATTTTTCTGTTAGTGTTCTTTACTCCCTGTGTAGAGCAGTGCGTGTTTCCTGGCCTGTGAAATAGGCGGAGTAACCTCAGTGACTGGGGTTCTATGTCTATGCTGACATCTGTTAAGAGTTCTTTGCTCTGGGAGATTGACCTCTGAACACCTGCGGTGTATTTATTGATGTCCCTGAGATGTTCTTACACATTCTTCCAGCACAGAGGGAATCATTGGAAGCCTCAGGGTCTTACACTGTACTGTGAGTCTCTTTTCTTACGTTACTTTGCTTCTATTTCTTTTCAAGGTAGCCATAGTCTGGCAATTTGTTTTATATTCTTTGATGATGAAGGCCCTCCTGTATTATTCCTACTACCGCTTGATATATCTCTGTCTTCATATTTTGACTTCTGTCTGACTTCTCTTGACCGCATTGATGATAGTGCAGAAAACATGCCCCTTGCAACTGTGGTTCTTCATCCCTGGCTCCTTGGCTTAGGCTGGATGCTCTTCACTCCATGCTGTTCATTAAGACTGACAGTAGATTTGTGTCCCTAGTTCACAGTGCCCCTGCCTTCGGTTCTCTGGTAGGAAGCAGGAGTTGAGCATCTAGTTTGTGTCCCCTGCCACTGTGGCCATTAACTTGTAGGGGAGAACTTTGTAATTTTTTGTTTTAAAATTTCAGGTTTAACTCACATTATCACTATGGATCTTCACCAAAAGGAAATACAAGGCTTTTTCAGCTTTCCCGTGGACAACCTTAGAGCCTCACCTTTCCTGCTTCAGTATATCCAGGAAGAAGTGAGGAGCCACCGGCAGACCTCCCATGTCCTCAAAAGAGATGCTATTTAGTTTTTCCCTGGCATCAGATTTCAGTATTGGAAGGCACATCCCAAGAGCTCTCCCTGAGGCTCGGTGCCTGTCGCACCAGATAGGCTCAGCGTCTAGTCTCAGAGGGCCATGTTTTCAGAGTTGTTAAAAGTATATTTCCTTCTAAGTACTTTTATGCTTATGTTTTCTAGAATGAAAGTTTTAACAGTTCTATTACCTTGATATATCAGTGTGTTTACAGAGATGAGTTGATAATGATGAAACTATCCACATGAACGCCAGCACATTTGGTTGTAGTGTGGATTATTAGAAGAAAGTCTTAGACTTGCATCCAGACTTAGGTGGTTTTCTTTTTTTTTTTTTTTTCTTTTTTCTTTTTTTTTTTAAATAATGCTTCAGTGTTTTCTTATTTTTCCTCCAAATCTAGATTCCAAATTACAGAAATGCAGTCATTGTAGCTAAGTCTCCTGATGCTGCAAAAAGGTAAATACACCAAACATTTCTAATCCCCTGTGGCTGTATCTGAAACCAGAGTTAGTCTGGGAACCCAGGGCTCTCATAAAGTGGCCAGTCAGAGCTCGCTCGTGGGTTCGTTTTCCTACCTCATTGTCACATCTACTCAGCAGCTTCATCTCTATGCTCCAGACATCATGGGTGCCATCCATACTGTTGTTACTCAGTTTCCTCTGGAAGGAAATGGGATTCTTCAAGTTTTCAGGAAAACAGTGAGACTGTGAACCCTTTTAGGCAGTGATCTTGTTTGGTTTTTTGCAGACAGTGTATCATCATGTATCCTAGGCTGCTTTCAGGCTCCTGTCATAGCTGAGGATGACCTGGAAATTCTACCTCTCAAATGCTGCAATTAGAGAACCACTGTACGCTGTTTATGTAGTACTGGGAATCAAACCCAGAACCTTGTTAATCCCAGATGAGCTCTACTAACTAAGCCATGTCTCCAGCCTGGCATTGATTCTGAAACATCGTTTTGAACAAAGTTCTGAAAATAACTTTATAGAATATTGGGGAGAGAGGCTGGAGAGATGACACAGAGGTTAAGAGCATGGGCTGCTTTTCCAGAAGACCCTGCTTCAATTCCCAGCACCACATGGAAGCTCACAACTGTCTGTAACTCCAGTTCCAGGGGATCAGACACTCTCACACAGATGTACACACAAGCAAAACACCAATGCACGTTAAAAAAAAAAATACTGGGGAGAGAAACTGCAGATTATTATCTAGACTCTAACAGTAGCCCGTGAGGTGTTTTATCTCCCGGCCTGGTTTATAGAAATCATTCTTTGTGTACCCCTTAGAGATTGAGTGTGGTCTTGTCTTGTGATTACTGGTACTTCTAGACATTCTTCCCATCATTGTCACCACTGCCAATCATTGTCTTCCTCACAGGGCTCAGTCCTATGCCGAGAGACTGCGGCTGGGGCTGGCTGTGATCCACGGAGAAGCTCAGTGCACAGAGCTGGACATGGATGATGGTCGACACTCGCCCCCCATGGTCAAGAATGCTACTGTCCACCCAGGCCTGGAGCTGCCCTGTAAGATTGGTTCTGTACCTTTGCTTGTAAATGGAAGACCATTTTGAATAGTGTGAATGGCTAAGAATTATGAGCTTGGTGTATATAGTAAAGGCTAAATAATTGAGTAGGATTGTCCAGCCTCCCCTTTCATAAAAGGAGAGTTAGGTGTTCCAGCACACATTTGCACAGTATGTAGGACTGAGCTTTTAAGTGTATGTGATGGTGTGGAGTCCGCAGCCTTTGGTTGTACTTTGTGACATAGGCTCTGGCCATCAGGCACCTCTACCATTTTAGTATGGTAGCTCCTGAACTGATACCTGACTGACTTGATACTCTTCCCAAATGGGCAAGCATTTCCCTTCCACAGACACTAAGTACACTGACACGCATTGTGTAGCAGAAAGGCTTAAGATGTTTAGTGGGAAGAGATTCTCTTTTTCAAAAATCTTCCTCTTTGCTCTGCCTCAGAAACAGAGATTAACTGGGAGAAGAAATATATTACAGTTGATTTCGGGGCCCCTGGCTCAAGTGCAGGTAGTCTCTTCATCTATTAATTTCTCTTGCTTCACTTTCACCTCTAGTGTTGTGTGTTTTTAATTTTACTTTTTTTTTTTTTTGAGAATTTCGTAGTTTTAGAATTTTTGGTACTGGACACTGAATTTAGCTGTAAAAAAAAGAGTACAGCTTGAGTCTCCAGATCTAACACTGTTGTAGTATTTTGTACGATTTGAGCCTGGGCTGTGGGTCTGAGGCTCCTTTATTCCTAAATACGTCAGTGTGCAAATGAAGCAGTGAGATTCTCACTCAGGACTGCCCCGGAAGGACCGTTATCTAGTCCTCAGGCCTTGTCATTTCACCAGTGTCCGGTGGCACAAGAGAAAAACCTTTGTCTTTTTTTGGCCCAGGGCCTACCCTGTGGCTGCACATTGTATTCAGTTGGCGTTTCTGTAGCCTTACTTAATCCAGAATGGCTCCTCCAGTCTTTGTCTCTGATGACCTCGATAAAGTGGAGCGGCACAAGCCAGTTTCTTGTAGACTATCCATTAATTGGGACTTGTTTATGTCTTTATGCTCAGATTCAAATTTGAGTATTTGGCAGGAGTGCTCCCCAAAACACATGGTGTGTCTCATTGCTGGAGAGGCTGATTTCGTCCTCTTGGTTAAGGTGGTGTCTGGCAGGCTTCCTACCAGGAAAGTTGCTTTTTTTTTTTGTCAGTAGTGTACTGTAAATTCCCACCTCAAGTCAAAATTAGCCTCTATGAGGAGTTCTCACCTGATCCAGTCATGGTTACTGACAGACAGATGGTCTCGCCTGCTGGTCTTGAGACACTCTTACTTTGCAGCCTAGGCTGGACTTGAGATTCTACTGCATCAGCCTCCTAATAAGTGCTAGGATTACTGCATGCAACACCACACCTGGTCTCCTTTTTCCCCAGGGAAGGAGGGATGGGGGCGGGGAGCAAGCTCATGCTTGTGTACTTGCTTACAGAGGCCAAAAGAGGGTGACAGCTCCCTTGGAGCTGAGGTTGGTTATAGGCATTTGTGAGCATCTAATGTGAGTGCTGGAATCCAAGCTCATAACTGCACAGCAAGCATTTTTAGCACTGAACCAAATTTCTGGCCACTCCCTTTACCCCCACTCTCTTTTCTAAGATGGTGTCCTAAAGTGTTGCCTACCTGATCTTAGACTTTTGAACAGAAGTACACTTGTCTTGACCTCCCACGTAGCTACAAGTTCACACCACCTCACATGACCAAACTAGAGCTGAGTTCTGTTGACAGGGCCTTGATGTGTGCCCAGGCTGGCCTGAAATTCTCAATCCTCCTGCCTCCACCTCTTGACTGCTGGGTCTGTTATCATCTGTGCACAGAGCACTTGTGACTGCCCAAATTCAAGAGATCGCCCTGATTCTGATTCTGATGGGAAATGAAGAAATCTGTATAAAATAGGACCAGAAAGTGGTCTAAGACTCCAGCTCAGCGGGCTGACTCTTATTCCGAGTGGATGTCAGTACCTGTGGGTAAGGTCAGCTGACCTGCTTGTTGATGACTGAGCTGTAAATTACCTAGAGTTTTATTGTTTCCTGTCTCCTACCAGAGTTTACTACTTCTCTTAAGAAGTACTTCCCAGGGAGCTGGAGAGATGGCTCAGCAGTTAAGAGCACTATCTGCTCCTCCAAAGGTCCTGAGTTCAATTTCCAGCACCCACATGGTGGCTCACAGCCATCTATAGTGAGATCTGGTGCCCTCTTCTGGCCTGCATCTGTACATGAGGATATAAAACACCCAAATAAATAGATTAAAAAGAGGTACTTCCCAGTAGTAAAGGCTTCAGGAAGAGTAGGGTATAGGGTACTTAGCTTTTGCGGGGAGGTTTTCTTTCTTTTTAAGATTTATCATGTATTGTTTATTATTTATACAGCATCCTGCTTGCACGCCAGAAGACAATACCAGATCTCACTGTAGATGGTTATGAGCCACCATGTGGTTGCTGGGAACTGAACTCAGGACCTTTGGAGGAACAACCAGTGCTCTTAACCTCTGAGCCATCTCTCCAGCTCCATTGTGGGGAGCTTATATTGTTTGTTGTTTGAAACAGGGTCTCATGTAGCCCAGGCTGGCCTCAAACTGACTATATAATTGAAGGTGACTTTGAATTCCTGCTGCTTCATCTTCCAGAGTACTGGAATCAGGATGGTGTTTGTGCTGCCATGCCCAGTTTTATGTGGTGCTGGGGAATCAAACCCAGGGTGTTAAACATGCTAGGCAGGCATTCTACCAGCTGAGTTACATCAGCAGCCCTGGTTGATGGGCGCTGTTGCCTGGAGAATGGTGTCTCAGCCATATTTTCAGTTTTGAATGACTTTAAAATACATATATATGGAGCCAAAAACCACAGCAAACAAAGAAGACAAATCTTTCTTTAAGCACGTACTAACCCGGGCTACACAAAGTGCCCTGCCTTGAAAGACAAAATAAGTAAATAAGTGGCCAAATAAAAGAGTAAATAAATAGCAGTTGTTAGAGAGGTGACAGACAGTCAATGTAGCCAGCTAGTTTCCCACGTGAAGTCTGGGACAAAGCAGAGTCTCTCTGGTGCTGTATCCAAGTAAAAGAACAGAGAGCGAGCACGCAGCATTAGATTGGATGCTCACGCTGTCCAGCAGAAACATGTCGAGGTACCAGCTTGAATTCAGATGGAGCGTTCTCTCCATGGCTGGCTTCCTGCACCCCCTTCCCACTGCAGGCGGTTTTATGCCCTGAGATAGACTAGTGGCCTTTGCAGATGGTTCACCACCTTGCTGTTCTCGCGGGCGCAGTGTTCTTACTCCGAAGCTGTTTTTGTTTGTTTTGTGTTCCCTCCCTATCACACAGTTGAGGGGGTACTTCATCCCCAGACCTTGGAGACTATGTGGACGCAAACATTCCTGGATCTGAAATGGTGTAGGGTGAGGACAGCCAGGCTTCCAGAGCTAGCTTTTCAGTGAGTTCAAACACCAGTATGGCGTGCAGTACACTTGATCGTACTTGACGTGGAATCCAAGACTGGCGTGCTGGGTGGGCACTCTGTGTGTGTTACACTCCAGCTGTCCTCAGGTGGATTTCTACTTGGTCAGTCCTGTGGCCTGGGATCCTCCGTTTGAGGAGAAGATGATGATCTGTGTAGAGCAAATATGTAAAACTGAGGTTGCAGTGTCTAAATTAGGTTCTTGGAAAGTGAGGCTAGCCACCTGGTGATTGGACCATCTGTGCATGTGGGCTTTAGCAGGGCAGCTTGTCTACATTTGCCAGCTGGCCAGGCCACACTGAGAGGACTTCTCTGCTGTGGGCTTCTCTCCGCTCTTACCATTTTCTCACCTGTGCTGTGCACTGGTGGCCTTGACACAGTGATCAGTTCTTCAGATGTGGCCAGTCTTACCTGAAAGAAAAGGAGAGTGTTCAGAATTACCCCATATAGTGATGGTTGCCATGAAAAAAAACATAAAATACCTCATTAGCATGTTTTTATCTGGTTATAGGTTGAGGCGGTCGAGTTTTAAGTGTTCTATGTAAAGTCAAATATCAAATTCACCCTGTATTTGACTCACTCATTATTTTCTGTGCGTGAGGGTTTTGCATGTCGGTATGTACACCACAGGCCAGCCTGCTGCTCTTAGAGATTGAGAGTGAACAGATTCCCCTGGAACTAGAGTTACAGGTGGTTGTAGACCACAGTGCTGGGGGTGGAAGCCAGGTCCTGCGCAGGAACAACTCCTTCCCCTCTGACTCCTACCTTTTTATGTTTCCTTACTTCGCTACTAAACAATTTGAAATCACTTTTCCATCTTGCCTCGTGTTTCTCCGAGCTATGTTGCTCTAGCCAGCTCTGACTCTTGAGGGATCTGTTAGGTCGATTAGTCTTTTGTAACTGCCACAAGGTTGTGGTTACATTTATCCAGTTACCCGACTAACTGGGTCTTGTGATTTGTTTTGCTAGTGATGATGGCGAAAGAGAAGCCACCAATAACAGTGGTCGGAGACGTCGGAGGACGCATTGCAATTATAGTGGTATGGTGACACATCATTCATGCACAGAGTTGACGCTGCTGGCTCAGTGTGGGTCTCAGCGTGGATGTCCGAGGATCCAGCTGCCCTTCCTTTCTCAGTCTCCTTTAAGAAAGTCATGGACTTTTTTACATAAGTGAACGGAACTTAATGTATGCCTTACAAATGTAAATTCAACATCATGACCTTCATCTTAGGGGTTCTGGGTCCTTTCATGCCAGCTCCCTTGGTCATCCTTACATGCTGAAGGTGAGCCTTTCCAGTTGCCAGCAGTGGGAATGGGTGTCCCAGTGCAGCCTAGCTTTGCATTGCTGTGCTGCCGCCCTTGCTGGGTTAGGCCACAGCAGCAGCACTTCCTGTTTCTCTCTTCCTTTCTTGTCACCCTCTCCTGGGACAAAGTAATAGCATGCTAGCTGGCTGGAGTGTGAAGGAAGGAAGCTGCCCTGACAGTCATTATGAGGCTTAAGCTGCCACACTTACTCGACTAGAGAGCCTCACTGCCCCTGCTGACACTCATCCCACAGAGGCGCCCTCTTGCCATCCCTTGTTCAGATCTCAGCCAGGCATGTTTTCTCACAGTGCTAAAGCCATGTGCAGAAGAGAGCCAAGAGGTGTGTGTCGGTAGAGAGGAGTTGAAACTGCCTCTCCTTGCAGGATGACATTATAGATGACGTGGAGAGCTTTGTAGCTGCTGCAGAGATCCTGAAGGAAAGAGGTGCTTACAAGATCTATGTCATGGCTACACACGGCATCCTGTCTGCTGAAGCCCCCCGGCTGATTGAGGAGTCCTCCATTGATGAGGTCTGTCTGCTTTAAAGGGCTTAGAGCCGTCAGCTTGAGTCCAGGTTGCTGCTATAGTGACTAAGTATTAAGTTGCCTCAGCTCTGGCTGGGTGCATACCTGTGTGATGGTGCTTTCTGCTAGCAGCCTTGCTCAGGCAGATGTGTGGAGGATTTGCATCAAGGTTTGTTCCAGATCTTCATCTTGAAGTTAGAGTCACAGTTGGTACTTCTTCCCTGGGAATTCTTCCCTGATGACAGTAAGTTTTGAATGGGGCTGGACATTCTTAAGACTTAAGTTCTGAGTCATGCTTGCTCGGTTTCTAAAATCTGCTTTGACAGATTTTAGAGACAGATTTCATGCTTGTAATTCCAGCTTTTGAGAAATGAATTACAGTTGAGCCCCATTCTAGGTTACATATAAGACCCTGGCACACACCTGTAATCCCCGAGCTGGGGAGGTAGAGGCAAGCAGATCACTGTGAGTTTGAGGCCAGCCTGGTCTACGAAGCAAGTCCAGGACGGCCAAGGCTACGCAGAGAAACCCTGTCTTGGTTGGGGGGAGACCCTTTCTCATAGTGAAAACCAGGGCCGTAGCTCAGCGGTGGTGCACTCACCTGGCCTGTGTGAGGTGCTCAGCCCCAGCACCGCTAAGGAGCCGTGGGCATTAAATGAAATGTTAGCTCTGCGTTTCTGAGTAGCCGCTCCCTGCACACACGAGTGACTGGCTGTGCTTTGTACCTAGGTGGTGGTGACGAACACGGTCCCTCACGAGCTCCAGAAACTGCAGTGCCCCAAGATAAAGACCGTGGACATCAGCCTGATTCTTTCTGAGGCAATTCGGAGAATCCATAATGGCGAGTCCATGGCGTACCTCTTCCGGAACATCACAGTCGACGACTAGTGTGGAGCTGCCTTGATTCTGGGTCTGCAGCAGTGTGTCAGCCTGGAAATAGGCTGCAGTTAGCAAGTCTCTACAAGCTGGAGGAGGCGCTAAGATAGGCAAGAAGACAGCTAGTGGATACATGGCTTCCTTCCGCATCATCAGCCTTGTTCCTTAATCCTAAGCAGACATTGGAAGTCGTACTGAGGTGGAAGTGGAACGACAGGCAGTCCCCATGCTAACAGTGTTGAATAGCATCTGCCCTGGGGCAGGCAGCTGAGCTGTTGGACTTGCTCAGGGAGCTGAGTGGCCTGGCACTGTTGTATACAGTTGTCCTCTCCCTAGACAAGTTCAAGTAAGTCTGCTTTCAAGAGAGTCATTTTCAGAAACTGCTGGGCCTATTGCCATTGAACAGTGACGAATCCATGTCTGCTCTCATTGAGCTAGTCAAATGAGAGAGTAGCACTCTGTCCCTCAGAACTGTGTTGCTTAGAAGTTGCAAATAAAAGTTTGTCTCTCTAGTGTCTTCCATCTACTGTGGGGCTCCTTGCTCCCTCCTGTCCACTGTGACAAACCCTGTATGTACTATGTGGGGAAGTGTACAAAACAGAGTGGTCAGGGTCCATGGCTGGAATGGACCGCAGATACGTCTCCCGAGGGCTCACATACACACATGCAGTTTGAGTTGAGCAGTTCTAGAGGTTGGCCTGTGGCCTCCTACATGTTAGGCAGGTGATGCTGTCAGTTGCATTGCTTAAGGGGCTGCACTCGCTATCACAGTTAAGTCTTCTCTGTCAGGAGGCCTTCTGCAAACAGCAGCGCTCTCTGTATGTTGGACCCTGCTCCAGTTCAGAGCAGGAGTCAAGAGAGGAGGCTGTCAGGAAAGGAAGTGGACTGGCTAATGGGCTCTGCTAGACAGGAAGGAGTCTTTTATTTGTATAATTGTATTTCACCACAGGGAAGTTTCCATCACTCTTTAATCCGTTAATGATGAGGAAGGTTCCAGTTCACAATTAGGACTTTGTACATGTTGGTCTTTCCAAGCACACAAACAAGTTGCTTTTTGTTAATGGTCCATGTAGGGAAAATTGAGCAAAGGACTCAGTAAGATAATTAGCTTGGTGGTAGAGAAAGCTGTAACCTAGTGGGCAGCGGAGAAACCTCACACAGAGGGGTAGACAGTATGTGGGGGTTTGTGGGGATGTGCGCCTGTTGGTGTGTGGTGCTTTGGTCTAAAAAAAAGGCCAGATGCTTGCCAGATGTTTGGCTAGGCTGCCTGGCTGGCCTGTGAGCTCCCAGGATCCACTTCTTCTGCCCCAGGGCTGGGCTTTCAGGCATGTGTGGCCATGCTTGGCTTCTGGTGTGGCTTTCAAGGATTCAGGCTCAGGTACTCAGGCTTGCATTGCCAGGGCCTTCCCCTCTGAGCACCTTCGTGAGGCTTGGTGTCCGTTCTCTGTGTAGCCTTAACTCTCCTGGAACTCACTCCATAGACCAGGCTGGCCTCGAACTCCCAGAGATCTGGTGGACTCTGCTTTTCAAGTGCTGGGATTAAAGATGTGCACCATGAGGCTCAATTTCGCTTTGTTTTGTTTTTTCAGATGAGTGTTTTTCCCTGTGTGTATTGTCTGTGTGAGGGTGTGAGTTACAGTTTTGAGCTGGCATGTGGGTGCTAGGAATTGAACCTGGGTCCTCTGCAATTACAGCCAGTGCTCTTAACTGTGGAGCCATCTCTCCAGCCCATGATAGTTTGTTTTTAACCAGTCAAGTAGATAAGATAACTAGGCCTTCCTGAGTTTGGGGAGTTAGTCAAGTGCTTTAGCCACAGAAGCATGAGGATCTGAGGTCATCGCTGGCACCTACACAAAAGGCCAGACATGGTAGCACACACTTGTAATTCTAGCACTGGGAAGGCAGAGACAGGCTGGAGCTTGTTGACAACCAGCCTTGCCTGATTGGCACTCTGCAGGTCCCACGAGACCCTGTCTTAAGCAAAGTAGATGGCTCCAGCACATGAGATCTCTGATCCACAGATACAAAACTAGAAATGAAAATTCAGGTGCTGCTCAGTTCTTTTTTTTTTTTTTTTTTTTTTTCTTTTTTTGTTTCTCTGTGTAGCCTTGGCTGTCCTAGACTCCCTTTGTAGATGGGACTGGCCTCAAACTTGCAGAGATCCAACTATTTCTGCCTCTCACGGTGCTGGGATTACAGGCGTGTGATTTACAAGCACCCAGCTTGTAAATTTTTTAAACTTTTTGATTCTATGTATGAATTTCACATCATGCACCCCAGTCCATCTCTTCATATCTACCCTTCACCCTTGCAACCTCCCCCCAAAATTAAACACACAAGCAAACAGCAAAAGCATAGAAAACATTAAGGAAGCTACATTGTGTCCCATAGTATATCCCTCTGTTGGGATAATGTCTCTGTACACTGTATAGAGCTTGTGTCTGTTAGTCAAGTGCTGATCGCTATGCTGGTGCAGATGATTACAAGCCAGACTTTGACACTGTCATTTTTATGAAGCATCTCCTGTCTCCATCACTTTCTGATTGGTTAAATAAAGAGCAGGCAAAACCTGGGTGGGAGAGGAGGCGGGACTTCTGGGCCGGGGTAGGGCGGATGTGGGGGTCCAGGCAGCAGGTGGGACCAAAGGAAGGAAGTCATTGTTGCCATCAACAGGCCTGAAGAAGCAGGTGCTAGAGCAAGACTAAGATGTCATGTACTAGGAAGTAGTCCAGGCCAGTGTTAGAATAGCTGAGTCTCTGCCCAGCTACAATGCCTGAAGCTTTCGATAAAACATGTTTCAGTGTCATTCAGAGCAAGGGTGAGCATAGAAAAGCCGTACGTTTGACATCCCTCTGTCCACACCTCTTTACCCGCAAATGTTCATTGCAATGAGTCATTGGTCTGGTTCAAGATCTCTGGCTTCTGTGACCCCATCAATATTGGATCCTCATCAGGACTCCTCCCTGTTATCCTGTGTCATGGAGATCCTGTAGCTCTCGGTCAGCAGGACTGGCCCTTTCAGACATTCTAACTGTTCACAGATGATACACGGGCTGACTCAGAGCTGGCCACTCTTTAACAGGCTAGTCCACCCAGTTCCATCTCTCTCTAATGCTCAAGCTGCTCCACCTCCGTTCTCTCCCATCTACCACCACTTCCTCAAAGATTGCAGCGGTGCCCACTGCAGGCTGACCACACAGCTGGTGGGCCCCTGGGCAGCAGCCTCCATCCATGCTGGTGGGCGTGGCAGCCAGTGGATGCCTATGGCCTGCCTATATGCTGGAGGGCAGGCAGGTCTGCGGGTGGCATGGCTGTGTACCGCTCTCTCTTCCTCCTGCACTGCGCTGCCTGGATTTGACTTGGTTTTTATGTGTCCTAGGCATGAGACAGCTTTGGCCATCAAGCCCCGTATCAAGCTAGGATGAATGAAGGACTGCCTTCTGCTCTGCCCTGACTGATACTTGAACAACACTGTTTAAAGTCTGTCTGGCTGCCATGCCCTGCCCTCTACCTAGGGTTGGAGCTTCTCTTCTCCCTGAGGCCCTTTACTATATAATCCAGACATCTTGGTTCCTCCTTTTCCCCCTTAACTCCCTTCCTGCTCTCTCTCCCATCCCCCCAACTCTCCTTTCCCCCCTCCAGCTCATGCTCCCCCTCCCCCACTGCTCCCAATAAACCTGCATTTATATAATGTAGCTTTGTCTCACCGTTTAGCTCATTCTGTGTTATTTAACCAGTCAAACACCGGAAGCAAACAGTAACAGTCCTGCTCCGGATGTGCCCCCATGCTTGAGCCTAAGGCTTACCTGCATTAGGTTTTAAGTTCTAAGACAGTGGTTCTCAACCTTCCTAATGTTGTGACCCTTTAATACAGTTTCTCATGTTGTGGTGACCCCCCCCACACACACACACCATAAAATTGTTTTGCTGCTACTTTGTAACTTAATTTTGCCACTCTTATGAATAGTCCTGTGAATATCTGATAGGCAGGAAACCTGAGATGTGAAGTCGGAGAACAAATGCCCAGAGGATTAGGAAGTTGGCCTTTTGGCCTACTTGTCCCCAGGTGATGGAAACAGAATAGTGAGAATTACCTCAATAAAAATTATGTCCATTCAGACTAAACTACAAATATAAATTTGCAGCCATGCTAGGTTTCCTTTCATGAGCTTTACTTCTTGTTTGTATATTTTCTTCAAGAATGCCCAAGCCCCAGAAAGCTGTTTTGAGCCGAATGAAGTTAGAGCAGCCTTGTCCACCTCTTTTTTGTTGTTGTTTTGTTTATCTTTTGTATTCGAGATAAGGTTTCTCTGTGTAGCCTCTTCTGTCTTGGACTCAATTTGCAGAGCAGGCTGTCCTCCAACTCACAGTGATCTGCCCGCCTCTGCTTCCCTGAATGCTGGGGTTAAAGGTGTGTGCCCACTGTTGAGTGAACAAACTTATCTAGAAACTGCCCCTAAGAGGCAAGGAACCCATACCCCAACCCCCAGAGGCCACAGGCACTGTAGCCCTTAGACTTGCATGCCTAAATGCAGGTTGCCGGGGTGCCCCTTACATCATTATGTCCCTGGGAGCCTACAAAAGCTAGAGGCTCGGGCTTTCTGTGTTGAGGGCGGGAATGTAACGCACCCACAGGAACACCTCAGCCTCTCCTAAACTGACCTGTCCTTAATGCAAACGCTCTGGACCAGCCTCATTACCCCTTTTCGTTGGGAGTATTACTGAAAACCTGGTGGCACCTTGGGGTGTGGCCAAAGCGTCTGCTGTCGTTTTTTAAGTCCCGATAAGGGCTGACCTAAGTGCGTATTCTTAGAATCTCTGCGGTCCCGCGCCGCAGCCGCGACCCGCTAACCGTGCCGCCCTCGTTCCAAACGTCCACCGGCGGAGAGCCAGGCTGGGCTGGCGAGGAGAGCGGAGCCCAGGGCTCTGGCTTAGAAGCCACAAACCCATAAGCAGGGCCGCCCGCTGAGACCCCTACTGGCCCCATAGACCTGCCAGGCGCAAGGGGGGAGGGGCCTTCGTTGCCCTTCCCCCCTGGTTCTTCGTCTCCCAACAGAGCACACGATGCGGTCCTCACTGGTGCCCAACATGGTCACCCTCCGGAAGCTGGCCGACCTGGCAATCGGCACTCCGGAGGTGGGGGCAGTGAACTTTACGGCCCTGCACACACTGATAGTGGCCATGCTCAAGAACCTCAACCTCCAAGACGTACTTACCGACTTCTGCTACCCGTCTGAGCCTCGCCCCTCAGTTGACGGGGTGAGTGGCTCCTACAGCTCCCCGGTTTTGTCAGCCACCAAAGAGAGGCGCCGGAGTGTGGCCAAGACACCGCAACAGCCACATCAGGCACAGCAGCCACAGCAGGCACAGCTGGCACAGCAGCCACAGCAGCCAAGGACCCTGGAAACCCAGGTGAAGGACCTGAGCAGCCAGGTACAGGACCTCAGCAAGAAGATGAAGAACATAGAAAACAAAATGCAGGGTATCGAGGTACACATGGACCACATAGCTGCAGCC